ATGCGATAATGCCAGGTCTCGTCTGTTAGTCACCTGGTATGTAGTCTGCCTGTTCGTCAACTTCTTGTAGCTTTGCCAAAGGTGTCCATGGGGCTTCTATCCCGTGGCATCATCATCATATCCACCAAACCATCGTAACTGTGATCTCTAGACCCTGGAGATCGACTCGAATCATAATATTCTGGATTTTATTGAATCTCATCACATGAGCATTCTTGCGCAGAAACCTCATTTCAGTTGCCTGTATCTGGATCACATTCTGTCAATCAATATCCAGCACCCATGACCACAGGTGAGGATAGATGCCATACAGACTTGAAGACAGAGAGCTTCGCACGAGCGTTCAACATATTTTTCTCTACGACAAATTAGTGTAGCAAACAGATTAGAGCACATTGCAAGTCAGTCTTGTTGGCTTTCAAGATATCTTTGAGTCTAAAATCGATGGTTAGCATGACAGCCTACTTGGAGGAACAGTTTCTCCACTGAAGTCCAAAGCCAAAGTCACCAAGAAAAGGAGTTTCATCCGAAAGAGCATAGACGATTCGGTGCTTTATCTCACGTTCAGGCTTTCGAAAATGTTACAGCAAAAAATAAACTACCAGAACTTGTCAAATGAGTAATCTGTTGTCAATGACGAATTCTGTACACTGAAAAGGTGACTGCAATAGCCCACGGAACATCCGACTACTGTAACTTGTTGATACACTGCAACGCACTCACCAGCTTCGTATTTTTTCAGCGTTGGAAGAGGAGACAACTGTCTTAAAGCCGAAATGGAAAGAAACAACGTTCACTAAGTTGTCAAAGGATTAAAAAATGTCATTTATATTGAGCATAAAATCAATCTCCCACCAGAAAAATAAACATGAACCATCCTGGGTCACGGAGCACACCGTAGCGCGTAAAAGATTGAATAGTGAGACGAAGAGACTTTTGCAATGCCCCACTAGACCCTCGAAGGTAGCATATCGCTACCTCATTCGCGCCGCTGTCAACCTGAGTTACCGACTACGAAAACAATGCTATGGCAGGAAGGAGAAATAAAGAACATCTACAAGACAGGCAAATGACTGATGAGCAATATTCCAAAGAGCACGAAGGTAGACGGTAAGCAGGGAACTCGACGCACACTTCGACAATGCCAAGGGTGAACCACTACCGCATAAGCTAAAATGGACAAGTTATTTTCAACAGCTGCCATTTAAATATACCACTCCCGGTAATCAATGTTCTGCAAACGCTAAAGACTACCTGATCACAATAGTAAAATTCTAAAACGGTTTCGTTCATCTCAAAGGCATATGCCATAGACGGAATGCCTAGAAGTTAATTGAATACAAAGAAAAAGTGATAGAATGATCTCAAATCCTAGTTTATCAAAGTTGGATCTCTAAACGTTTCCCGGGACAATGGCAGCATGAAATAACTATCTACGTTTAAATGTAGCAGACAAGGTACTCTAACTGTCGTTCTATCATATACAGCTGTCGACAAACATCATGTTACTGTCAACTGCTAGAACACCATTTTCCTACACTATTCTGTAAACGCTACGAGAGACATTTGACCTCAGACTTAGATTTAAAGCTGTGGGTAGAGCACTGCTGCTTTTAAATATTCACTGATCTTAGAATCTCTGACCAATGCCGACCATTTCAACTGCTGAAAATGGAAAAGATCATGGTCTCATTCTAGCGAGAAGACGCAGTTCAAGATATCCAGCAAGGTATGTA